GATAGAGAGAAACAATGGGGCACATTGACGTTGGTGCAGAATCTCGCCACATGACCATTCTGGTTGCATCGGAAACAGCGGCGACCGTTCCGGATTACCCGTACATTGCGTTGTGAAGTGGTGCTTGAAGACTCTATCGACAACAGCTGCTCCACCATTTCGGAAAGGCGATTTACTTTCTGTTCCAACTCAGCATGCTGGATGCTTCTCACTGTCACTCGCTCCGACAAATTCTGGGCGACTGTCACCAGATCCAACGCTTTGCTGTCTCCCACCAGCGACGCCAATTTCACCTGATCATGGAGTGGACCGGGCAGACTTCGGATAAACTGCTGTTTCAGTAGGCGCTCTCTTGCTTTGCCCTCTAACTCGGGGAGCCCAATCGTTAGATGTCTGTCCAGCTGCTGGAAAAACACCATCAAATCCTCCTGTTCGTCCCACCTGGCTGCGTGAAATCGTTGCAGTGCTCGTTCTCTCTCCAGATCCTTCCCAAATTCTGCACACAAGGCAGCCCTCATCTCAGCGAACGAACAACCGGGTTTGGCCTTTCGAGTGAGCAAATACACCGCCTTGGCTCGTCCACTCAACCGTGTGCCCAAAGCAATTAGCAAATTTGCATCCCCCCTCACACCCGTGAAAGCCGCAATTCCGTCGAAATCATCGAGCCACGCCTCCACGTCACCGGCCGCAAATTGCTCCAACCGGGTCAACTCCATCGCTATTGGTCACGGCACCAGTGTAGCGAGAACGACACGACAGGGGGGGTAGACGTTTATTGCACACCGAAAATGGGCACATGAGGGTCTCGCGCGCGCCCTCGAATATCGACTAGATTTCCGTCCCACCACGCAACACAGGTACGGATGTTAGAGGCGAGCCAGTCCTTTCGCCTCGGGAGCTCTGACTTGGAAGATCCGCCTTCTTGTTTTCGCCTCGATCTCCGCTTCTCTGCACCCGATTTGGATCGGCCAGGAGTCGTTCGAGAGCTCTCGACTTGCTTGTTCTGGGCTGTGTCAATCGGCTCGGCCTCGGTCCTGTGGGCTGCGCTAGCGGCGTATTTGTCTGATTTATTGCACTGTCCACATGTTCCCGCTCCGTAGTTCCGGGCCCAGGCTCGTCGCTAGCCGTCTTTCGCGATCCGCTCTCAGCTAGCTCCGAAGAGCTCCCCAGAGCCCTTCTTGGAAGTGGCCCCTCTACACTAGGGCTTGGGTCATCGGTCCTACAAAAAAGCGACCGACAGCTGACCCCGGAAGGGTCGGCATAGACTCTCATCGGAAACCAGCAAATACGAACACGCTTCTGACCACCGATGCCCTCGCCTGTTTGTATACCAATGCACAAGGCCTTCACAGGGAGTTAATCGAAATTCGTATTCGTCAGGTCTCCACCCCTTGCGACCTAGTTATGGTCACCAAAACATGGCTGAACACGGAGATCACGGATGCTGAGATTACACTACCCGGCATGACTTCCATACGTAACTATTGACCTAGCAGAGGAGGTAGAGTGCTCCTGTATTATCTGTCCTAGCTGCATGTTGATGTCACTGAGGACCCAGAAACCAAAGTCGTCGATTCTCTTTGGTGTCGTATACACCTAAGACGTGGTGATGTGTGTTTACTAGCAATATTTTACCGCCCTCCAATGTCCACCTTGGAAATGGATCACTGCCTAGCTTCTGCGATGAAACGTGTCCTGGCGTCACCACAATATCACTTCCTTCTGGTGGGGGACTTCAACCTGCACGCAATCGAAGTTCCAGCATCGCACAGCGAACAATTCAAGGCTGATTTTCAAGAGGTGATCACCGATGTACCTCTGTACAACCATGTCACCTCATCCACGCGACTCCGAACGGGTGACACACCCTCTGTTTTGGACCTTGTGCTCTCCAACGAGGAACTAATGATCGACACCTTGACCATAGATGCATCACTTGACCGTAGTGATCACGCGATGTTGCGCTTTCGTTACATCTGTTACTCGGAGTACATCAGTGAGAAAAACTTGGAAACCCATGTCGTTACACATTACGATATACTGTCCAACTTCGTTCAAGAAACCGACTGTTCCTTCCTGTCCGAGAAGCCACCCGATGCCGCCTGGAGGTTGTTCGTCACCCAATTCACTGAGCTAGTGGCAAATGCGTCAGAAAGCAAGGGCCTTCGCCCGAAGCAAGCGAATTCGTTCCTGAGGAGCCGTAATAGCAAATGCATGGCCTTAAGGGATTCAGCCTGGCGTGCTTACAAAGTCTGTCCAAGTAACCTGACCTGGTGTGCTTACACAGTTCAACGAAACCACTGCGTGAAGTTGATCCGCGAAGACAAACTCCTGCGTCAAGCGAACTTAGCGGCGAAATACAGTAAAAATCCAAAGTTGCTGTATAGACGTCAACAAGCTACGCAATCTGAAGCGCGGAATCGTGGTTTTACTTGCAACAGATGGTCTTGCGCAGACCGCACTAGATGCAGCCAACGTGCTTCGCCAACACTTCATCCATACTTTCCGGAGTGAAGCATCATTTCAAACGCTTTTTACACAGCTTCCATCGACACCAGGGTTAAACCACGTATAGTTCACGGCAGCCTATGTGATGAAACCGCTAATGTCATTGCGTGTGCTCAGCTCACCTGGCGTGGACGACATCAAACCGAAGGCCTAGAAGACAACGGCCATGTATCTTGCCGAACCAGTAGCTAGGTTAGTTCAACGTTGTTTTGACGAAATGCAGGTTCCGACAATGTGGCAACATGGACTAGTCACTCCTATTTACAAAAGTGGTAATTGTTCGGAGCCTTCGAACTACCGTCCAATCACTCTCCTCCCAGTTTTATTTAAATTCATGGAACGTATAATTGCAGAGGTGCTCATGGGATATCTTGAGCAACAACATCCTAGTGTCACAGCAACACGGATTCCGCCGAACTCGATCCTGCACTACAAACTTGCTGCTAGCCCGAGCTAGCTGGACGGAGTCAGCCGATGCCAGAGTGGGAGTCGACGTTGTCTACCTGGACTTCTCGAAACCATTCGTTCTTTTGGACAACCGCATTCACCTGCACAAGCTTCGAAGCCATGGAATCGGTGACCGGCAACCTCCTCGCTCAACGTCAGCTGAATGTGAGAGTGCGCAGCTCCATTTCCGACCCAATTGACGTCAAGTGTGGCGTGCCTCAAGGATCGGTACTGGGGCCACGTTTATTCCTCACATTCATTAACGATCTTGGCAGTGTACTGCGGTCGAATTTCTTACTATTTGCAGATGATAGCAAAATTTGGCACGATATCAGGACATCGGACGATCACATGGCATTGCAGAGCGATCTCGACAGGGCTTATGCGTGGTCACTCGATAACCGGCTCCAGTTCAACGTGACCAAGTGCAAAGTGGTAAGCATACGCCGTCAGCTTATCTATGAATACCGACTTGGGGACCAGCAGTTACAAGGTGTTTCCCAAGCAAACGACCTCGGGGTAATCGTGCAGGACGACCTTGGTTGCTCGAGACCGGCTGAAAAGGCATCAAAAATAGCCAGTCAACACCTTGGACTCTTATGGCGGCGTTTCGACAATTTTGAGCCATCAATCTTTCCGCAAATGCTGAAAGCCTACGTGAGGCCTCACGTGGAATATGCGATCCATGCCTGGCGTCTCTGGCGCAAACGCGACGTCGATGAACTTGAAGCTCCACAACGTAGAGCGACCAAACTCGTTAGAGGATTGTTTCATCTCTCCTACCAACACAGACGGCAGTCCCTAAGATTGTACAGTGGTGAATATCGACGTTAACGATTAGGTCTAATCATGATTTAGTTAGTACTGACGAACCCAACTCACAGATGTCGCAATCTGTTGCAGCCGAAGCAAAATACCAAGCGGAGAGGCCATCAGCTCAAACTGGCTGCGCACTACAGTCGAATTGATTGTCGACGAAACGTTTTCTCCCTCCGTGTGTCCCGTGCCTGGATTGCCCTTCCGTCTCACGTTATCCTTGCCTCTACATTAACGCTTTTCAAAAACGCCTTGATGAAACGATTTCAAGCTTGCATTACTTGATATAGTCCGTTCCACTTGGAGGACGAAACAACGCAAATCTAACCATTTGCTTAACGGCCCTCTCCGCAATGTGGCGGTGAGGATACATGCAGAAGTGTCCATGTGATTAGCCTAGATGTAGCTAACTGGATTAACATATCACATCTGTCAAATGAAGAAACAAACGATTGAGCGTTGTCGTTTCCTTGTTTATTTCTCACGCACTTATTGAACTATAACAGCTCTCTACACTATTTTGCATGTGCACATCCTATTCGCACTTCAAACTATTGTTATGCAGTAGTGCATTTAACCCGGTGGACGCTTGAAATAACCATTTACTTATTTGATGATCCTTCAAATTTTACTTTTTACTCCAACCATCCTACGGGACTTGTAGAGAGCATGCTTTTTTAACCGTGATAAATCATTGTTCATTGTTCATTGTTCACGATGAAACAATGGTTTTATACGGGTAAAAAGCTGAAGCTTGACAGGTCCCGTAGGATGGTCATAGTGGAAGTACAAAATATAGAAGAATTGTTAGCAGCTTTCGGTTTACACCGGTGCGCTTACTACTGACAAAGATAGCAATGGTTCGTTAGACATGGCAGTGTGATACACTGCAACTATAAAGCGTAATATTCCCACTGATTGAGCCGGGGTGTGTGCTCCGATTACAAACCCGAATGAAGCGAACCGGTCGTCTGGGGATATTCTGGATTGGTGTTTATAACAAATGGTATGTGAGCTGCTTGTATAAATCAGTAAACTTTCATCATCATTAGTTATCAGAACTTTGCATCAAAGCATACATAGCTGCTATGTGGTAGAAGTCGGAATCTCTGGAGACTGTAGTAACTTGGATGGCAGTGGAGGATAGGTGGCGGTTACTATTTTAAGATGTGGATAAATTACCAACTCTTAATTTTGTTCTTACAGATGTAGCACGTCACATTACTCACAAGTAGATTTTGTGTAGATACGTCGTGATTCAATCGGGCTTCTGTCTTTTCTCTCGCAATGTACGCGTTGGTTGGCAACACCGCCTCGGATGCCCTTGCTTCAACTTCATGCGTTGCACACCGTTCCAGCCTCCTCTGGGTAAACGAAAGGGTATAGTAAACTGGTTATGTGGAAGTGAATGTGAGTTTAATGTGTGAATACGCGCAAGCCTGTTGTATCCCTCAAGATATGTTCATATGCTGACTACCGAACACTGCATTATGGGAGCGTCTAACAATTTAAATCTGTACAACTGCATCGAAATATGGTCAAAAACGTCAAAATACTAACTATGAACTGTCAATACTGGTAGTTCTCAAACTTCTCACGTATAACTCATATTAAATTGGGAATCACAAATGTGAAATAGCATTGTCAGGGGTACTATTTTTTGAAATCTTACACTGGGAAATGCGCATCCAGCAATATTTCGAACTCCTGCACCTAGGCTATTTCCACTGTATGCGTCGGTATGCTATTCCAAACATTAGTCACTCTCTTTTCGTTACCACAAGCGCGTACGATTGTCCTCTTGTGTTGAGGGCTGCTCGCAACTGAAGCAATGGCCTCAACAAGAGTGTTACTTAGGTGTAGAATGCGGTAGGTCGCCTTGCACCTGACGATATGACTGGGTGTGAGATACCACACTATCACACCTGTCTTCGTATAGTGCCCCGCAAACTGGAGAAGTGCTTCGTAGCGACGAGTCGGACCCGCACGAATCTTCCGTGCCTCGCCTAGGCTGGTCGGGCAATCTGCTGGTGTCATACCTTAGAACTGGCTATATGAAGGAGGAGAAAAACCAGGGATAAACGCTTCAGACAAGATGCACAAGCTGCGCATGGGCATCCAGGGCCTGCACAGTCCAGTTCGGTGTAGCCTGCGCTTGCTTTCCACAGAGTTCAGCTCGCAGCGTGAGAGTAAGCGCAAGTCCTTCATGGAATATGTGGGGTGTGGCAGTAGTCCGTCAACAGTGTTGTTTTGGCCGTCACCACCCTTCCCCAGGCTCATGAATACTGACTTGAATGTGTTAACCGTGTGGTGGACTACTGCAGACCACATGAAAACACAGTGGGGGTCTGGCTGAAGTAGTCTGCAATCGTCGGTGATGCTACGCACTCTCCACATTTTTAGGCAGGCTACAAATAGGGTACACAGCGACCGAAGAACTCGTGTTAGCTCGTTGACTTAAGTCAAGAACAATGTATACCACCCCGTGCCTTGGTCTACGCTACTAGTCGAAGGATACCAGTCGGTCAGATGGCTATCGATTTGTACCCTCCACTTTCGTCCAACAAGAAATTCGCGGACTCACTAGTGAAGTGAGGCATTAAGACCGCACATTCTCAGCCTGTAGACGAGGACCTCATGGTTCATATTGTTGAACGTCTTGCTGAAATCTATGTGGATCACGTCGATAAACTTTCCTGACTCACTGCCTAGAGCTATTCATTCCTCATCATTAACAAGTTCGTAACGCATGGACGATCTGGCATGAAAAGGTGCTTTGAGAATCTCAGGAGCTCTTTTTGACCGAAACAGCTGTAGAAAATTCTTTCTCAAAATCTTCCCGGCAATATTGGCCAAATAAGTGCCAAACAAATCGGCCTGTATTTGTTCACTTTGCTGGCGTCACCACATTTCGGAATCGGTCTTACCGAGTATTGCCAACCAATCTGCAACGAAGATTCGGACAGCAACTTGTTGAACAGAGCAATCACAACAGGCGGAATGCTAGGAAATAGAGACTTGAGTTTCAGAACGTGGAACCCGTCAGGCCCAACAGGGTTCGTGCCGACAATTTGACGAGTAGTTGACGTACTTCTTCAATGCCACAATTTGGACGGTCGAGTTCGGTAAGGACAGTACACGTTGAATCCAATAGTCAGTCACGGAGTCTTCAAAGTTGACTGTGCTCTAGAATAGTATTTACTAATCCACAAGCTTTTCGACATTGCATTGTATACTTTTGTTTTAACCTTGCAATATTTTGTTTAACAACTGGTGACCAACTCTTTTACACTCGCCATTTTTGAAAAACCGCGTGTTTTCAGGCATTTGAACTGGACAGTATTCTCTGGTCAAGCTCATACAAAACTAAATAAGAAGAAGCAAAAATTAGCGAGGGCATTTTATACAAAGTAGCGTTTAGGATGGAGGGTGGGGGGTACCGACGCTTTGCTGGCCTGCAACCACCCCTAGTCGCACGTGGGCTAAGGATACTGCGTGGGTCGCCCGGCTCCTACGCAGGCTCGTATTAAAAGGCAGGCTTGTGGCCCTTAAGACTACGGACGTGCCCACGGTCCGAATGCTACCTGGAAAACTAGAAGACCACAAAAGTGGGATAAAATGTCGCGAATATTCTAGTATGGTCATCATTTTGCTGCGAGAAATCTGGTCTCAGGTTGATCGTGAAGATGCGGTGGTGGAACTCGACGGATTTTGCTCTTATTGTGTTGACTGCCAGTGTACACAGAGGAACTGCGGCGGCGGTGTTATCGTTTGCCTTTAGTATCCATGGTGCCTGTGCATTAAGAGGACTTTTAACCAACTCGCAACGCGTCAGCTAGTTAATCGCTAAATGCAAACCAAGGATCCTGAACGATTAATGTGCGATTATATTGGCTACTATAGTGGAGAGTGGGGCTCAATGTCTCAAGGGTAAAAGTCACACATGACCTCTACAGGAATCTGGAGAGGATAAAAACATTTACATTGTTTCATTCCTCTTCAAATACAAAACTTATATGCAAAAAGGGAAAGTAGACTCTGGGTACTATAGAAATTTTCCCGCATTGTCAATTTTCACCTTTCTGCTGTTGAAATAAAGATATTTAAAAAGGTGAGTTTACATCAGATTCTAATTCACCAGATGGTTTTGTTTTTGTATGGAGTGTTCATTAACCATTTAGGAATGTAGTGTCGATGTTTATTTTTTGGATGAAATATATAAACATTTTATATGACCTATGTAAAATTTTTATAGGACTGCTGTACAAAGTCTTAAGGCCACATAGGTTGTGACTTTTTGTCCCATGGAAATATGTTTACACCTGTTTCTGATTTTCCAAATTTATTGAGTTGATATCAGTATCAAGTGGCTAATATTGTCTTTTTGTAGTGAGCTTATTTGCTAATATGAGTAATTTTTATAGTTGCACTATTTGTTCGGCTCTTTTATTACAGGCATAGATTTAGTAAGCTGAACAATATTTTAATCCTCTCCCTAAGTTACTAAAAGATGAATCTACTAGCGGCAAACAAATCGGGGTGCGTTTATGAGAGACACAATAACGTCGGCTGTCACTACTGTGGTGGACGATGGTAAATTCATCAGACAGGTTGCCAAAACCTTGGCTTGAATTATAAGAGTTTTGATTGATACATTGCATTGATTGATTGCATTGATTGATACAAAATGCATACTGGAACACTTACAATTGCTAGTTTTAATTATGTGGCGCCAAGAATGGTTTTTGAAGAACAAATGGAACAGACCCTTGTTGACTATGGTAGTTATGCCTCACAGATCTACCATCGACTGACCATCTATGAGGTAAGAAGACTCGCTGGCAATTCATGCGTTGCCAACAAAGTGGCTATGCCAAGATCTTAGAAAGAAAATTAAGTTGCTGGAAAAGATTGGGGGTTAGCATTTATCAAAAGACACAAGGGTATTCTTTGGTTACGCACTCCTTGGACTAAGTACCTGCAAAGGATGGCTTGTTTCAATGAAGCAAATGCTCAGCAGTTTTATCATAATCTTCAGCATGTCAGGGATAAAGGGTTTACAGCTGAGCGAATTTACAACTGTGATGACACAGGTGTCAACACTGTTCAGCGCCTCACTAAACAACTAGCGACGAAAGGCGATAAAAGTGTAGGAGCTATAATTTCACAAAAGCGTGGTGTGTTGGTGACAGTTTGTGCAATAGTAAATGCTTGTGCATAGCCAAGAAATTTGGAGAACCATGTTTCCCGCAGACAACGTTTATGAAGATCAACCAAAAGCACCAGGACAGATGACAAGTGAGAATTTCAAACCTATCCTAGAGACATTTTATTCAGAAGCCTCAATTCTACTTTTACTTGACAGTCATCACTCTCATATTACATTTGAGGCCATCGATCTGTGCAGAGATAACAACATAACACTGCTTTCATTTCCCGTTAAGCACTCTCATGAAGTACAGACCTCTCGACAAGACAGCTTTCGACCAAATCAAGAACTTTGTCAATCATGAAGCAAACTATTGGATGAGACATCCATACAAGGCGGAAAAGCCCATGACCACCAACAAAATCCCAGCCTTGGTCACATATGCCTTTTGATGAAGTGTTCCCAACCGCTAATATCATATCCGATTTTCAGTCAACGGGTATCTATCTATTTGATCTGCGTGCAACTCCAAAGGAGGGATACCTTCAACCAGTCACAACACATAGACTAGATGCCCCCACAATAAATGGAGATTCCACCCACAAATCGACCTATGCCAAAGACACAATGAGGAACACCTTCACAAGCAAACGCCACGGTCAGTAATAGCTGAAAAATTCCCAGACATTTCAGGAACGACCACATTCCATCATAATTTAAGACCAGTTACAAAGGCTCTTCCTCGGAAGACATGCCAAAGCGTAAGAAGGCCGCCTCGCTTGTGTACACTGCAACTTCAGTGAACAATGAACAATGAACAATACATTTATAAGGGTCAAGAAGCGTTGCTTTACAAGTCACGTTGGATAGTTAGTGGGGATATCAAAATAACAATAATGATCATAATGATGGTAAAACAGTTAGTAAATCAATTATGAAAATACGGACACGGCTTCCTCCTGCGTAGTCCTGCATTCCACTTAGATTCACAACACCCACAGTTAAAATCAAATAATTCCATGATAAACTCCAGGTGTAGGATGGAGACGTAGCGCTAAGTGACAAAGTGCAAGTGGATGAGTGCATCGTTCAACCGTCGTTTAAATACCGTTAGTGTCGGTGCAGAGGCGACCCATTCTGGGAAAGTATTCCAAGAGTGACAAACACTAATGGAAAAGAAATTTCTGCGGCACTGCAGACGGCTATACTGTACAG